ATTCGAAGAGGACAACGTCAGATTATTGTCCATTTTTACATCATTTTGATTGAAATTAACAAGGAGAGCAGACCGAGAAATTTTAGATTCTAAAAATATGTGGCTTAGAGAGGAACAGATTTTATGGATGTAGTCAAGAATAGCTGGGATTAGCCGGTTAATGACCGTGATGCCAATACATCCTTCTTTCATCCATCTTTAGATGGAAAGAGGATTAAAATTGAGTGTCCACGAAATTCAAGATATAAACGATGCTTGGTTTACAGAGTGAACGAATGTTGAAAGTGAGGCTGTGAATTTATTTGTTTTCCAGCACTAATTGCGGCAAAATGGTATCTCAGGGGAGGCCCTCAGTGATTAAGCATGTACTTTGTGCTTCGACAAAAAGGGATCTGAATCTGTACTAATCACGAGGTTTTCGTAGCCAATTTGTCTACGTTTTATGAACCTCTTTAATCAGGCTATAATACATCAGGAATGGATTGATGTTATAAATCAGGAGCTTAAAGCTTTTGAAGACAATCATACATGGGATTAGCATCTTTGCATGCAGGAAAGAAATTAGTCAGCTGTAAATGAGGTCTATTAAGCGTCTTCTAGTTGATTGATACAGAAGCTAGGCCTGTAACTACAGACTTCACATGGGTTGAAGGGGAAGGTTACCTCAGTATTAGCATTTATAATTCACATTTACTCTACTTTGCTACTCTCAACTGTTACCATTGTCATTTCAGTGTACATCAAAACTTGTTTCATCTGAAGTGAATTTTGCGATGGAGTGGCTACTGCCGGAACTTTCAAAGTTCCAGGGGTTTCTGCCCTCTTTGTGTGACTTTTTATGGTAAACAGTTGTGTTCGTTGTACCTTTGTCTTACTCTACAAAATCAGCAGTGGGCATACTTTAGTTGCAAAATTAGTCAGAGTTCAAAAAGAGAATACAAATGTGTGTGATATAATCTTTAAACTGCTCATGGCACCGATGATGAATCAATGGCAGGTTTCATCTGAGGGCTGCTAGACTAGATACAACAAAATTAATTGAAAAATGTATACGACTTTTGCAAAACTGATTTCTGCAAACGCATTCTACACTCCACACCCAGTCCTACAGAGAACTCCTAGAACAAATCTGTTCAGATGGTCGTTGTACCATTTTCTCCACCTCTTGTTACACAAAAATGACCAATGCATGACTAATAGGCTCGTAAGAAATCCTATTGCAGCACTGAAATAGACGTCACTATCAGAAACAGCTGATTCTTTATCATCAGGTGATGAAACTGGAACTTCAGCTGGAGAGTGTGAATTGCATGGTAATTGAGTGGCAAACCACATAATCCTCTGTTCCCTAGGAAGTTACTTTCTGAAAGTGCTTGAATTTGAGGACCACGGGGTATTGTACCGTAGAGCAGATTGTAAGACACGTTAAAGGTTGAAATGGATGTAAGACCTGAAATCTGAAGTGGGATTTTCCCTTTGAGGAGATTGGATGAGAGGTCTAATGACTCCAGTTTCTTCATGTTACCGACTGACGGTGGAATCGGTCCTGTGAGATGATTGTGTGACAAGTTAAGAAGATGAACCTGTCGAAGCTCTCCAAGTGTTTCGGGCAAATTTCCTTGGAAATGATTGCTGGAGAAGTCGATAGACGTGATAATCAGTAGGTTCTTATTCACTTCCGTTTTTTTCCCTTTAATGACGATTGTAACTGAGTCTTGATAGAAAGTTTGACTACCCATACCTCGAAATTGGAACTCAATAAACCGAATACTAGGATCATCTCCCTCAACTGTCAACGCCTTCAAACCCGAGAAAAGAACTGCTGGTAGTGCTCCACTGAACTTGTTTTCTGCAAGATCCACAACTTGTAGTTTTGACCAGCTGTAGTTGTTTCCAGGACAAGAGATGCTTCCATGGAAGCGGTTATCACGCAATACAAGCACGCGAAGGAGAGTGAAATTGTTTATCCAGCAAGGGAAGCGATCATCTATTCTGTTTCCACCTAGGTTTAAAATCTCTAGGCTTCTGCAGTTGGATAAAGATGAAGAAACTTGTCCTTCTAAGTGATTGAAACTCAGATCCATAGCCCCTAAACTACATCTGGACATCAATATGTCAGGTATATTTCCAGTGAGGTTGTTTCTTCCTAGGTTGAGCAGGGAAAGGTGGTCGCTAGTCTTTAACAAACACGATGGTATGGTATTACTTAAGGTATTGTTGGAAAAATCTATTACACCAAGGCTACTTGCATTGCACAGTGATGCAGGGATGCTACCCGCGATCCTGTTGTTTGCGATGGAGAAATATTCAAGTTCCTGCAAGTAATTGCCAATGTCTGCTGGAAGCTGCCCGGTGAGGAGATTTGAGCTCAGGTCAAGAGTTGTTAGAGAGAGATATCTTTGAGGTTGTTGAATGTGTGTCAACTGATTATGAGATAGATTCAAAGAAAACATGCCATCTCCAATACCCCATAGCCAGGCAGGAATTTCTCCTGTTATTTGGTTACTTGAAAGATCCAGCAGCATAAGTCGATGCTGCTTCTGTAGGTTGGGAAAGTTTCTGATACCACATGAGGCTAACATCAAAGATTGAAATATGGGAAGAGAAGAAGGTTCAGTAAAAGTGCCGGTTGTGTTGACGACCAACTTATTGTACGAAAGATCAAGCTCAAAAAGTTGTGGTAGACTTGCGAAGCGGATAAAATCTAGAGATCCATTAAACTGGTTGAAAGAAAGATCAAGGATACTAAGATTAACCAAATCAAACAGAAACTGAGGCACTGGACCTTGGAATTTGTTACTGTTCAACTGGACGTCTTTCAGTTTGGAAGGCTTCTTCAGAGCTACTTCAGCAATTGGACCCGAAAAATTATTGTAGGAAAGTATTAACTTGTCTAGTGACGGCATGGAAAAAAGATTTCCTGGGATTTGCCCTTCGAATGAATTTTTATTGAGGTCAAGCTCCGCAAGATTTTCAAATGGTACAACTTGGAAGAAAATTATACTACCCGAAAATCGGTTGGATCCAAGGTCAAGGATTGTAAGATTTCTTGAAAAGTTAAAAGATGGAATCGAGCCGCTGAACTGATTGAAAGACAAGTATAGATTTTCGAGGTGGATGAGGTTTTCGACTGACCTTGGTATAGGACCTGTGAAGTTACAAAATCCCAAGTCTAATGTAGACAACATTCTGAGGTTTCCAATGGACTCCGGTAAATTTCCTGAGAAATTTGTGTTCCTTAGCACCAGGTTTTGAAGAGATGAGTCTACAGGGAATTCAGGCAGGGAGCCCCGCAGATCATTGCCTGACAAGTCAATAGTTTGAAGAGTTGGTACCTGGAATAGTTTATCCGGAACTGCTCCACTCAATTCACACGAGCTTAAGCTCAAGACAGTTAGATTGGGAAAATCGGCAAAGAACTCCGGGATCCGGCCAGGGAAATTGTTATAATCAAGACGGATGACTGAAATGGATTTGAGTTTTGTCAGAGAAGAATCAATAGGCCCTGAAAGATTACAGCCTGACAGGCTTAAAACTTGCAAATCAGGCTGCGAAGATGACAAAACCCGGGTCAAGTACGCGAGCCCCTCCGCTGAAAGATCTATGTCATCAAGATACAGTTCTCGAAGACTTGTGAAATTTTGAAGGAAAAATTCAAGATTTGGCTTGTCAAGTTGAAAGCAATTACCTCGGTACCAAGGACATACGGAGAGATCTAGACTAACCAAGTTTATCATTTTCGAAAAAGCAACTGGAATTTGGCCACCAAATCCAGAAACAGACAGATCCAAGTGCTTCAATGAAGTAAGTTTCCCGAAATTGGATGGTAACTGACCTGAAATGTGATTATTAGCCAAACTCAACCTCTTCAGGAACCGAAGACTAAACAAACTACTCGTCTCGTTGATTCCGCCGGTGATCGATTCCTGGCTGAGGTCAATGCCGATGACATGACCAAATGAATCACAAGTAACACCAGCCCAGAAGCAGCAATCACTATCTTTACGCCACCCATCAAGCTTAGAAAGAACAAAGGATTCCTCTACAATTAAACTGTCCCTGAGCTGAAGCAACAACGTTTTCTGATCACTAAGACATTGCCCGGAGACAAGGAGAACATGTACAAAGCAACATGGCACCAAAAACAGCATCAGGGAAGGACACAAACGCACCAAAATCCTCATTTTTATTACCCTTTTCGGGAATAGAAGTTTTCACTTTTTCAAATGAATTTGGATGAGATTGAGGAACCCAATCGAGGCTGTATTATGAAATTTCTGGAAGTTGGGAAGTGGAAACAAGAAAGAAGGAACATTCTATAATCGGCACGAGGCCGGAGACCGGAATCTTCAATAATAATAATACTTATAATTAACAGACACGGCAAAGATGTTGTATTCTTTCTGACAATGTTATTCTAGCATTTTATTCAACTGAAAGTCAAATTGTGTACCAAATAGTGGCAAAGTGATTTGCTTTTTGGATTTCACACATATGTGATAAATATTAATTAAGAAAATAATCAGGTTCTTAAGCAAAAGTTAACTCCACTTTCAAAAGTAATTCATACCAAACTAACACAATCATTGTGAGGTTGAGTGCTGAATTATATTTTAACGACAAAAAACGTACCAATTTTAGTCATCCTCATTGAAATGTTCTCTTTGTTAGGAAATGAGTCTGCCATACATCGCCCAGTGTTTCACATTTTTTTGAATCTTTAGATATAACTTTCTCGGTTTCATGTTAAAAAAACCAATCATTTACCAATTAACATCTAGTTGGAAAAAAAAAACATGAAAAACAGGAAGAATATGTTGGTTAACAAAATTTTGGGTTTTTTTTTCTCGGAATTTATTGAAACATAAAAATATCATTAAAAGATTAGGGTAAAAGAATACATGAACATAATTTCTTATTGAATCATCATAATGAAATAGTACAAACTACAAACTCCAACCATATTAGTTTAGAGTCTGCTTCCATCCACAATTACTACTTTAAACTGGATCCTGAATCTCGCAAGCCAAAACGATACCTTCTCCACAGCCATTATCAGCAATCTCAGCCCGAAATGTCTCCGCCATTGAATTGGCCGGCGCGTCGGAATCCCATGCTTCGAAGAACAGAGAATAATACCGGACACCAAAACAATCAGTAGTGGAGGAGGCAACACTCCTGAGCTTCTGAAATTTGAAATTGGAGCCCTGATTTGAGTTGTAGCCCTTTACAACCTTAATTCCCATCTTGATGAATCTCTCTTCAATCCGTTCTATTGTATACACAAGCCCGGCTCTATGACTAACAACATCATTAGAATCGAAATCATTGTCGACCAGCGACATTGGCTCTGATTCATCGTTCGACGACCCGAAATTGTCATCATCCGGCATCGAATCTGAGAAAACCGGCGAGAATTCAGTGTAATCATTATCCGACCCGGAATCAGAGGAATCCAGCTGAGACCCAAACAGGGTGTTGAGGTTTTCTTGCTCCTGAATCAAGAGATTCAACATCTCAGAGTGTTGTTTCTGGGTTCTTCTCATGATCTTCATTGCCTTCATAATCTTTTTGTTCTTGATCTGCTTTCTCTGTTTCAAGAAGAAAGACTGCAGAACATCGCCGCCTTTAGCCATGATTGCCAAAGAAGAATTTTGAGAGATTAAATTTAGTGATGATGAAGAAGTATGGATGATAATAAAGATTAAAGAAGACGAAGAAGAAGAAGCAATTAATGATCTTTTGAGTCGGGATTATTGTTGGGTATATATAGAACTATAGAAGGTTAGGGGTGTTTCCTAATCTATGTTGGATTTGGATTTGCTTAGCCAATTTTCCGTTTCCGTTTCCTTTCCCCACCGCCTCCGGTATATATCTTTTAGTTTACTTATATAACTTAAAATCCTCGTTGTTTTAGGAAACTTGCTAGGGATTAGGAATTTAGGACTACAAATTTTAGGTAATAACCTAATTAATTAAACAAACTCGTAATTAATTAACACGTTTGAAGCGCCGGCGGGCGGGAGAAGAGAGGAAGGATCGGAGGCAGAACGACGTATCAAAAGGTAGTTGGATTCGGCGTCGGAGGTGGCGAGGCTGCTGAAACAGAGCTTCCGATCAGCAATTCGGAGAAGCATCTTTGGGGGGTTTTTAGAGAAGAAGATAAAAATTATAACAAAAAGGAGATGAAAAATTCTCTCATTCTTCTTTTGAAAGGTTTTGACGTTTAAAAAAGCTTGGGAAATGGGTATGAGTATATATGGTCTTGTTATTTAGATTTGGCATGAATGCATGATACACACTTTTTTTTTTTTTTTTCTAATTTTCAAATTCTGATTGTTATACTTTTAATATTTCTCTTTTTATTTTTATTGTAACTTATTACAGAAATGGCCTCCTTTATGTAGTCAATACTCATTATGTTGTGATATCAAATCATATAATTTCCACAGAAATCAGAATGTTCATCTGGGCTAGCTAGAATATGGACTAATTGTGTTAGAATGACATCTTTGTACGGAAAGATGGTTACTGGTGGCTTTTCTGGGAAGAAAGTATTTTACTGCTTAGTTGACATAGCATAAAGTGTTTTGCTGCCGTTAATATCTTGCTTCTTTACTCAAAGACGATTAGCTAGTAGAATTTTTTCTGACATCCTCTTGAAATGAAGAACAATCAGAGGATCCTCAAAAGCTATTAATGTTACTTATTACAGAAGGGGTAAATGCAAAAGAAAAAAAAAAAAAAAAAAAAAAAAGAGGCAGCTAGCACCTGTTGTACTAAAATAAACAAGAAAATTGACCCGTTCCAGATGAGCAAAAGAAGAATTGGAAAGGAATCAGATCCCTTCTCTGCTCCATCTTAAAGGTTAAAATGCTTCTTAATCCAATTGACATATTGAGGATATGAAGGGATTACAAGGAATTTGCTTGATGCTTATTTGAAGCCATATTTTTGTTCCAAGGTGGTGATTTCTCGGCCTGTTAAAAAGGGAGACCTGTTTATGGTTAGGGCTAGAATGAGGAGTATTGAATTGAAGATTGTTGAAATCGACCCTCCTGAGGAATTTGCTTTTGTTACCCCTGAGACTGAGATTTTCTGTGAAGGCAAGGCGATTCGGGGAGAGGACGAGTAGAGATCGGATGATGTAAGTTATGAAGATGTTGGGGGAGTTAGGAAACAGATGGCTCAGATCCGAGAGCTAGTGGAGTTGCCTTTGAGGCATCCATAGCTTTTTAAATCAATTCGTGTGAAGGCCTCGAAAGGGATTCTTCTTTATGTTCCTCCAGGAACAAGGAAGACTCTGATAGCCAGAGCTGTGGCCAATGAATTAGGAGCTTTGTGTACTGAGGCCGCACTCTAGTGTATTAGGGAAAAGATGGATGTGATCGATGTTGAAGACGAAAATATTGATGCAGAGGTACTTAATTCCATGGCTGTCACCAATGAGCACTTTCAAGCTGCACTTGGGATGACAAATCCATCCGTGCTGCGCGAAACTAAGGTGGAAATTCCAAATGTTAGCTGGAAGGATATTGGAGGCGTAGAGAGTGTGAAGCGAGAACTTCAAGAGACTGTTCAATATCCAGTTGAGCATCCTGAAATGTTTGAAAAGTTTGGAATATCCCCATCAAAGGGAGTTCTTTTCTACGGTCCACCTAGATATGGAAAAACTTTACTCGCCAAGGCAATCGCAAACGAATGCCAAGCAAACTTCATTAGCGTCAAGGGCCCGGAATTGCTTACCATGTGGTTTGGTGAAAGTGAGGCTAATGTTCACGAGTTGTTTGACAAGGCGCGGCGATCGGCTCCTTGTGTCCTCTTCTTCGATGAATTGGATTTAATCGAGTTTCAGAGAGGAAGTAGTAGTAGAGGAGATGCAGGAGTAGCTGCTGATAGAGTGTTGAATCAATTTTTGACGGAAATGGATGAATAGATGCCAAGAAAACTGTTTTCAGCATCAGAGCTACCAATAGGCCTGACATTATTGATCCAGCACTGTTGAGGCTTGGCCAGCTCGATCAACTGATTTACATCCCTCTCCCTGATGAGGATTTGCGTTATCAGATCTTCAAGTCTTGTCTCATGAAATCACCTATTTCTTCTAAAGTGGACCTGAGAACCCTAGCCAACTTTACTGAAGGCTTCAGCGGAGCTGACATCACCAAACTATGCCAACGGGCATGCAAGTACGCTATCAGGGAGGACATCAAGAAAGATATCGAGAAGGAGAGGATGAGTAGCAATAATCATCCTCAAGTTTCGGAGATGGATGATGGAGTTTCTGAAATCAAGCCTGCTCACTCGAGGAATCAATGAAGTTTACTTATAGAAGCGTCAGTGACAGGGATATAATCGAATATCAGGCATTTGCTCAAGGGTTGCATCAGTCTAGAGGATTCGTTACTGAATTCCGATTCCCTGAGGCTAATTTCAATTCTACAGCAGCATCTGAACCTTCAGCAGGATTTGATGACAATTTATATAGTTAGGTTGGTTATTTATTTGTAACAATTGTCACTGTTTTCTATTATTGTTGACTATGATATGATAAAAAAAAAAAGGTCTCATGAAATAATTCCAAAATTTATATCAAATTGCATTATGGAGTTAGTTCACTGCTACTCTACTTTGCTACTCTTAACTGTTACCGTTGTCATTTCAGTGTACATCAAAAGTTGTTTCACCAGAAGTAAATTGGTTGCGATGGAGTGCTTAGTGCGCGAAGTTTCAAAGTTCCAAGGGGTTTCTGCCCTTGTTGTATGACTTTTTACGCTAAACAGTTGTGACGAAGCTTGGTTTTACACCGCCAGTTTGGTAGTGGAATTCCGGCTAGCGTTTCCTGCAAAAGAAGGATTCGTGGGTCTCCCGAGAGTAGACACTCCGATACTTAAGTCAGAAAAGGGTTTAAAGGATGTATGTGAGTAGTAGTTTGTGCTAGAGATAGCCCCTCCTATTTATAGGCATGGAGTTACCTTTAAAGATGCTGAATCCTACTAGGTTTCAAGTTCCAGGACAGCCTCTTGTTAGGTCGGTTGGACCACAGTAAACAGATCGGCCGGTCCAATAGTTCTCGGTGGATATGGACTCGTTAAGTGCCCCTGTCAAGTACTAGTTGTATGAAATAAACAAGCTTTGACATAAGATAAACAATACCTGGATCTGGCCCAAGTAAGATGGACAAGTCTCGGCTCACGCTGCGTTGAGGAAGCCCAATAAAGTATCTCATGAGTCAGGATCTGATTCGAGAAGTTGACCCGCTTTAGAATCCCGCCCAAATTAATAGACCCTGCTTCATTAGTGGGCATGTTCCCCAAACGGCAGCCAACACCCCCATAACTACCTCGATTATGGCTGTAACGACAGAAACGTGGGGGGACTGGTCTTCTTTATATACCTCTTGGGACAAATCTATTTTGATATTTCCTTTCTCTTCCAAACTTCACAATACCCAGAAAAAGGGAGCGACCTTCCTGCTATTTTGCCCTTGCCTGAGTTCCGACCATCTCTGCTGTCGCTGCTATCATCGGACCGGACTGAAACGCTCCATCGTCGAGTGGGCATCATCCTGGGAGGAAATAACTCAAAAGGAGAGTGGTCTTATCCAACAGTAAGTCTTTCCAACCCACTTTTACTGTCTAATTCCTTCAGAATTCCAGTTCCAATTTAGATCTGAAATACTGTGATAGATATGGCTAGGAACCCATATTTAAAAACTGTCGGTGCCTTTGCTTCTACCTTATATTCAAATGAGAAGGTAAACGCTGTAAGAACGAGATATGACCTGCCCCTAGATCTAGAAGTTAGAGCCCCATTAGGAACCGAGAGGGCTAATTCTCCTCCTGAGGAAAAATCACTGTATATGACCGCTTTATGTATCCAGGGCTAAGATTCCCCCTCTTCCCTCTGTTTGAGGAGATTGTCCAACACTATAAAAACTCCCTTGCTCGTTTTACCCCGAATTTGATAACCTTCGTGCTTGGGTTCGCAAAAATATGTCAACGAGTAAAGGTAAAGCCCCAACTAGTTCTGTGGAGATACCTCTTCCAAGTTGTCGTTCCCTCGACATCATTCCAAGATTGGTACATTTTCAAGAGATGCCTTAGACCCGGTGTCAAGAAGATGGTCGAGGCATATGGTGGCTCTCCTGAATGGAAGCCCAAATACCTTTTTGTGAAAGCATCAGAAAAGTATTGGGTAGCGTAGAATTGGCAAGAAGTGGAAGGTCTCAGGGTGATAAAGGACGAGTGGTCCAAGGAGGATGACGATAGCGTCGAGGAGTTCACCGACAATTTGAAAAAATTCTTGAAGTACTCCAAGCTTGTTAAATGGAGTGACGTGCAGTATTACGTTCCCCCTGTTCTTGTCGAGGAGGGGAAAGACACTAACACTCCGGTCGAGGAAAAAAAGCTACTAATCTCTTATATTGTTGTTTCTGTTTTTAGGTCATGTCAGCGAGCTACGTTGGTTCTCGAATTTATGGTGATGAAGACCCTTTTCCTATTATAAATTCAGATGAGGTCTCAGCCACTGGAAGTGCTATTCCGAAGAGAAAGAAGAAGAGGATTGTGAAAGGCCCAGAGAAGGAGAGAAGAATAAAGGCGAAAGCTGACACGCATCCAATAGAGTCAATAGCACAGCAAGAGAAATTTGTGCCCCAAACAGTCAAGGAGACTCGCGTTCCACCCATGGAAACTGGGCCAAGTAGTGTGCCTCTGTTGCTGACAAAGGCAAGAACCCTCTCGAGGGAGAGGCAGTCATATTGCCCTCACAAAGGTTCGAGGGAGGACCGACTGTAGCAGTCCACACGTTTGGCGACCCTCCAACAATTGAGTGCCCCATCCTGGAAGAGTTCGCAACTCAACTGAATGAGACCGACAACGTGAGGCTGGTAAGTATTTTCCCGCAGTTGGTGGATATTTTTTTAAACTTGTAGGAGGTAAAATATTTCTCAATCTCCCAATTCCGTGTAGATGAGTGCAGCCTCGATGGCCTACTTGATGCACCAAAGGAAATTGAAGGAAGAGTTGGTTCAAGCTCGAGCTGAGAGAGACAAAGCTTTAATCGAGAAGGTTGCGCTCGAGGAGAATTGCAACAAGTTCAAGCCAAGGAGATAGAGTTAGCCTCTGTGCAGGCCAAGTACGACGAGTTGAACAAGAAGTTGAAGGCTTTCACAAATCTGCATATCTCGAGGGAGGACCTCCGCAAATGGTGTGTAGCTTTTTGGTTTAGAATGCTTTCCACCGATGGGATGGCGGCAGCTATCGAGGAGGTTAATATGGCTACTACAAAGTATGGGGACCACAAAGTAGCTTTTGCAGGCCTTAAGAGAATTAACTAGGACAGATCCATCAAAGCCAAGTGGTTCAAATAGTTTCTGATGGAGAGTCCAAAGAAGGTCATGCATGAGGAGCTGGTGAATGTTCTCACCAAACTCAGCGCCGAGTAGCTGCCCCTATGGGAGTCATTGTGTGGAGCTCTCATCAAGATGGGTACTCCTGAGGATATCGCCATGTTTCCTGGTGATACTCCTACAGTCTTGTCCAAGGGCCCAAGTGATGAGGAGCCAATTCCTGAAGTGCCAGATGAGTATATGGGCATTGAAGTAAAAGATGCTGATGAGGAGGCTTCAGAGGAAGATGTGGCTGACACGGGCCACTCAGGGGTACATAAGAACTCTGGAGAGACATCTCAGAATGACCCCTAGAATGCTTCTCTTGGCCGAGACGCTGTATGAACTCCTACTCTTGTAATAGTTATCAGGAATGTTGAACAATCATATTTGTAATCATTTTTTCATCCCCCTTTATATTTATGTGATTACTGCGCTTTTGCTGTCTCCAAATTTGACGTGAGCATTTACACCCCTCCTTGGAACAGGATAGCTGGTCGGTTCACCGAATTCACTGTATGGTTTTATCTGAGGAACAATCGAGGGAATGTCCTCTATACTCAATGATTAGCAACATCATGAGAAGTCGTGCAAATATCCATAGTATTGAAATAGTGATGAACTTAGAAGTAGATCTCCTCGATGCTATGCGGGCACACAATGTAAGAGTCAATCAATATTTGCTTAGCGAGATCAAAGAGCTTCGGGAGGAGATGCGACGGCAAGACTTCCAGAAAGATAAAGACTATAGTGATTCTCTAACTTTCGAGACTAACATTCATGATGAGTTGGTTGCCTTACAGAAGGAAAACACTCGGTTAAGAAAGAATCAGAAGATCACTATGTCGCCGTGGTTTCTCGAGAAACATCATGTGCTTGCCCGAGCACAACACATGATCTCGACCATGACTTGCCGGTTTATTTCAGCAATGGACATGCTAAAGGAAAGAACTCGTGGGATTGAGCTCCTTATGGAATATATAAACGAGCTTCAAAATCTATTATTGGACCACAACATTGACTTCCAAAGCTTCGAGAAGCCTGAGGAGAGAGCTGATCCCCGGACCAGGAGTTCTCATGAAGAATTTCTATTGAGGTTGCACGCTCAAGATGAGGAGATTGTAGACCTCAAAAGACAAACTCAACCAGTGTGTAAACCTCCTTAGTCAGCACGGGTTTAAGGGTGTCATTCATCCTTCTCCTGATAACCCGATAAGAGAAGTTCTTGTAATAGTGTAGGAAAACGTGTATGTTTTCTACAACCTCGCACAATTATGTGAAGGTTTTCTACAACCTCGCACAATTATGTGAAGGTAGCCAATGTATAATTGATTTATAAAACTCGAGTTTCTTTATTTGTATAGCACTTTTTAGCCAGATGTTAAGTATACGACTTTGTTGAGGAAACTAGGTACGAGTTCCCTGATTTGTTACCGCGATCTACGGTGGGTACAAGGGGAATTCCTCGGTTTGTGTCCGGATGTTGAATACACGGCTCTGAACGAGGATGGCCCTAAAGAGGGAATCCATCTCGAGGACTAGTCTCAATATAATGTCGACGATATAAGAAAATATGTAATGACGTTTATTGAATAATTACCCGAGGATCCGGGTTAGCATTACATACGAGAAAGTAAAAGCAGTAGAGGAAACAAGGCAAATAAAGCAAATAACCTAAACTAGCAAGTAGCAGACAAAGACTTAAACGTAAAACTTACGGAGGTTCTGAATGTTCCACCATCGAGGGAGAATGGTTCCACTGTCATTCATGGCTTGTAAGCAGTAACTGCCCGCCGGAGAAGCCTGAATGACCTTATAAGGTCCTTCCCAGTTTGCAATGAGTTTTCTGGGAATCTCTGCTTGACTGGCTTTGTTTTTCCTTAACACAAGATCCCCCACCGCGAAATCTGTTGCCTTGACCCGCTTG